ACGCCAACTGTCATTGGCTTGTTTAGTTAACACTCGAAGGTGATTGGGCTCTCGGGCGAGATCCCAATTCGTCAGTCACGACTGACGTAACGTCGAACGTGACTGACTGAAAGGGAACGCCGGTTAATTATCGCTGAATAGCGCAACTGACCAATCAAAATCGAGTACTATTCCAGAGAGTCGCATAGGATGTCTGAAGGTCCTAATTCAGGGGCCAGTTGCATAAACATAGCCACTGTAAAGTGTCTTAAGAATTAGTTTGATCTACAAGCAGTTACCCAATGGGAAATCTTACTTTTCGGATTCAAATGAGACCAACCTACCTTTTTGCAAATTATTTCAAAATGCTATGACCAGTTTTGAAGAAAAACAAAATCAGATGACTAGCGTTTAGCCATCTGAATAACTGGTATGATGTTAAACATCTGTACAATCCATTGACCGCACTGTACTTCTATCCCTCACAGCTTTGTTTTCATTCCTGTCAAAAATGATATATGTCGCTCTATACATACATGAGAAATAGGCTATTCTTACAAAATCATGAAGGTATCACTTGGGTCTACGCAATATAAAATTGACTTTTATTCAGCCTTTAATACAAAGTAACAAACCAGGTAGTTTTCATTGTATAGATTAAATTAAATTACTTAATTGGTCAATAAAACAAAGTGTACCATAGAACAGGGATAACTGATTTCAGTCAATAAGCACAGAAACACAGACAACAAAGGCCAAACAAAGCACTTTCTACCACTTCATGTACACATTCCATATACAATGACTGCAATAAATGCACTTTAAGTTCCTTCATCAGGCTCTGCAACAGACAAAGCAAAGTTTCACACAGAAACATCATCTTCATTAATGCCCGCAATAGCATCTACAATTCATAACATTCAAATCACAGTTCAGTAGATGCCGATTATGAAAGAAAAATTACGCACTGGCTCGGAAAGCATTGACCATTAAAATAAATGCACTGAACAAACAGAGAAGCTCTGGCTTTAAGGCAAGATCAGCACATCTAAAATATTTCTAAAGCACTGCGGCATACATACTGTACCTACTGAGCAAGTAAACATACAGCATGCTCAATGAACAGATCATATCATAGCACAGTTAAAGCAAAAAAACGATGATCACCAAGAAGTGGAGTCCTTCCACTAAGACCTGCTTGTTACTTACATAACATATAGAAGAACCTACATATGCATTAAAAGGGATAAGATGCTAAACCCTAGACATCTTGTACCATCATTATAGTATTAATGGCCAATGATGCCAAAAAATGTACAGTGGCAAATCAGAAACAGATTTAGATCTTAAACATGTAGTTTGGATTTAGAGTCTGCAGTGCAAAGATTTGTGAATAAACTGAAATAACAATAAAATAGTGCCATTTGTGTGTACTACCAGAACCAAGAAATGTTCAGTTTCTCCCAGTGTAGTTCTGAGAATGTGCATGTGGCATAATAAGAGTGAACTTAAAAAAAACAAAAAACAAAACAGTAGTTTAGAGTGTCCATGTTCACAGGAATCCTGCAAAAGTAAAATATAAAGGCTTTATTTGCATTAGAGTGAAGATGACAATGATGAAGGTGAAACTGAGGGTTATTTCCAAGGTCGACTACTCCGTGAACGAGCACTTTCTGATCCTGCTATGGACGAGCCTTGTCGACTGCTCCGAACTGTAGATGCTTTGGAGCGAGCGCTGCTAGTGGACATTCTGCTGCTGAGACGACCTAAAATGGGGGAAAAAATAATGATCACAATAGTAAAGAGTAAAAAATATACACATTATTTAAAACTGAGCATTAATAATATTTGATAATAATAATTATGGCAGCAAATCAGCATATTAGAATGATTTCTGAAAGACCATGTGACACTAAAGACTGGCGTAATTGGCTGCGGAAAAAAATCAGGTTTTCCATCACAGAAATAATCTACCTTTTAAAATACATTCAAATAGAAAAGAGTTCTTTTAATCTTCAATAATTTTTCACAATATTACTGTCACATATATGCAGCCCTGATGAGCATAAGATAAACATATATTACATATACTGTATGTAAGTGTGGCTCAAAGAAGCCTGCTGAGATGGCCGTGTTACCATCTACTGGTAAACTGTTCGTAATGCAGTGAAAATGGATATGTTGGTTTGATCAGATTTGAAATGATGACTCACTGCTGGGCTCACTGGGTATGTACGCTTCCTCTAGGTAATGCTGGATTTTGCTGAGGTCTTCTGAGGTGAACCGCCACTTTTTTTCTGCTGGCTGTGACGTCTGCTGTGGAACCGATCGCTTATGACCTCCAGGTCCCGAGGGTGACGGCAGACAGGAAATGGGAATAGAGCCAGTTGTCATTCCCTCAGGGAACTTCTGAGCAACCACTTTTAAACCTTTTTGAGAAAGGAAAAGAGAAGTTAATGAATAAATGCCATTAAATACATCATACTGACAGGATACTGACAGTATGAACCCACATGTATGTAATAGAGATCCCAGAGATTTCAATGATCTATTTATAAATATATAAATTAGTGCTGTCAAACGATTAATTGCGATTAATTGCATACAAAAAAGTTTTTGTTTGTATAAAATATGCGTGTTCTGTGTATATTTATTATGTATATACAAATACACACACATACAGTATATTTTGAAAATATTTACATGTCTATATTCATATAATTTATATTATAAATAAATGTATTTAATATATAAGCATAACATATTTTTCTGAAATATATACATGTGTGTGTAGTTATATATACATAATAAATATACACAGCACACATACATATATTATGTAAACAAAAACTTTTATTTTGGATGCGATTAATCGCGATTAATCGTTTAACAGCACTAATATTAATCTGAAAAGGAACTTCTTATTTTCCCTTCCCTGATTTGTTTTTTTCATGATGGACTTCTGTTTGCTATCAGTCTCTTGTCTGACTCACCCCCTGACAACATGAAGAGATTCTCAAAGCCTCTCTCACACATGGTGGTGGCGGCTTGACTTGCAATCCTCTCATCCTCATCATACAAAATTATGATCTTCCCTGATGCATTTTTCTGCATAGTTGTAAAAGATTTTAACACTAGCAATGGGCATGAGTACACAAGAAATTGAAATGACATATCATTAATCATTAAAACACAATAACAGTGTGACTTGATTTTTTTTTTTCAACATTTGTTTTTTACAATTTCAAGAGACCAATCCAAGTTCCAATCCTATCTATTAATGAATGCACAATAAATATTTAATTTATTCATTGTTCATGTATAAAATAAATTATTCATGTATTTCTTCACAAATTATTATTATATACATATATTTTTTTTTCATATAGGTCTGAATACTGTGACCATGTGATATTTCAGTTTTTCTTTTTTAATAAATCTGCAAAAATGTCAACAATTCTGTGTTTTTCTGTCAATATGGGGTGCTGTGTGTACATTAATGAGGAAAAAAAATTAACTTAAATGATTTTAGCAAATGGCTGCAATATAACAAAGAGTGAAAAATTTAAGGGGGTCTGAATACTTTCCGTACCCACTGTATGTTATATATACAGAATTTATAAATATATGATCATTCATAATACATATAAGAGTTTGAGTTCTAATGAATGAATTAATGAATAATAAATACAAATTATAAAAGTTCATACATGTACAATAAATAAATATAATTATATATTAAAAATATATTATTTATTTATTTGTTGTGCTAAAGTTTATTACATGTGTAGTATAGGTTTGCAATATGATTCAACAGAGAACAAACATTGTCAAATTCACATTTCAGGGATAAAAGGATACATAATCGAGAACTTCTTTCGTGTATGGGTTCATTGTCCTTGATAAGGTCGCAATGGGGTAACTATATGCTGTAAGCAAACAACGGATACAATTATTAACAGAAAACATTAATATTAATATGAATGCTTTTAATGTCTTTTATTCTTTGAGCAAAATACGGTTTCCAGGTAAGTTTCCTACCACTGATACTATGGCACTGGTCATACTGTTCTCTGTCCCGCACATCCAGCAACAGATATGGGCAGTCGGGGTAGGGGCACTCTGTGATGTTGGAGGTAGACACTGGAGAGTTTTGGATGCTCTTCTGTCCATTCTTGTCCAGATCCATTTCTCCCACGCCACTGATGACACTATGAATGAGCCCAGAGATTCTCAGTTACACCGAATGAGGACAGTCAGGGGTTCTCACTGTTACAGGGTAGATCTCATTGTGTTCCCCCCACAGGGTCTCTGAGGACAGAGTGTGATTGCAGTGGCTGCTCCTAAACAAGCTCAATGGAGCTTGAGGCCATGAGAAAGCAGCCCGGCCAATCAGAGCTCTTGTGAGCGCACAATAGAGGAAATGTTAGAGGGGGCATCAGTTAGATGCATAAAATGATATTCGGATGTGGCTGGTTGAATTAAAGAGATAGCTTTATGTGCTTGTTACAAACACGAAGGTGATTCGGCTACCTTTGGAGTGTAGATCTAGGAGAAAACGCAGTGTCGCCGGATTCATCATTGTTGATACTCTGTGGGGAAAGAAGCGTCGGCTGGGGGGAGCCATTTATCTGATCAGAGAGACGGTCGAGGCCCGGTGATGCAGATAATATTGAAACATCATCTGAAATCACATACAAAAAATGAAAACAACCACAAATGATTGTCAGGTAGTTTCTATGCATTTGCTGAAGTATGGAGCCCCATTAAGGCAACATGGTGATGGAAAAAAATGCACTATAATTTTCCACCCACCCATTGCGTTCAAAAATATTTCATTTCCCAAATACATTTTTAGTTCAATTGCAAACTTTTAAACTTTTGTGTTCGCCTGATGACCTTTATTTGCTCACACAACTTTTGCTTTCTCTCACAAAAGTATTCCATTACACCAAGAAACTTTGTGCTCACTTGTAAAATTATTGCTTTCTCCCAAACTTTTTATTTGTTCACAAAAGCGTTACGATATAATATAATAATACTGATGTCAGAAAAACTAGGAATAATAAAAAAGATAGAGTAACATAAAAGAGAAATGAAACTCTTACCTTCTAATCCCACCATTTCATCTTTAATGTTGTCATTCTGATCTGACACTGAAGCAACTTGGATTACCTGGAAAAAATATATAAGACATAAATAAAAGCATATATTCAGGAATATATTAAAATACAACACTGTTCAAAAGTTTGTGGTCAAAGCATTAAATTAAAAACATTTATTTAGCAATGACACAGTAAAGGCATTTATAATGTTACAAAAAATTATTTCAAATGAATGAAATTAAACTTTTCCACAAAAATATTAAGCAGCACAACTCTTTTCAGCATTGTTAATAAGAAATGTTTCTTGAGCAGCAAATGAGCATTCTTGAATGATTTCTGAAGGATTATGTGACAAATTCATCTTTGCCATGACATGAATAAATTACATATTAAATTATATTTAAAAAGAAAACAGTAATTTTAAATTGTAGTAATATTTCACAAAAATACTGTTTTTACTATACTACAACTGAAAGTAAACATTATGCTCTATTTAATTTATTATTCACATACCAGCTGTGCAAATGTTGTCACTTTCAGTCTTTTAAATAGCTCGCCCTTCCTATATCTGTAGTCTGGAAAACAAAAAATACATAAGCATGCATTTCAAATTATTCAGAACCGCAGTTGTACACAATTTAGCAACAATTTTGATGCATTTTACCTGGATCCTGAGTGTTACCATTTCTCTCTTCATCTTCATTTAAAGACAAATCATTTAAATTCACTCCCAATATATCAAACTCCATTTTAATACCAACTAAACCTGATTTTAACACACCAATTGCTGCTACAAACTGAGGCCAGCTCTGCCAACATCTCTTTATATCATTGGCAAGAACTCCGTAGTCCAGCCTCACCACCAAACCCACTGTAAGAAGCCATGTGACACCGCTGGATGAGGTTATGTATCTCAGTTTCACTACAGACAGTCTCAACAGAGGAATGACTGTAATCTACAGTACAACCACCATCCTCTGCTCATGTAGCCAAAAGAAGGAAGGATTGCTTATCCTTGAGAAATCACAAGGAACCTGTAACAAGATGACTAATGTGGACAAAGGAGACTTTCTCTCCTTATCAAGTAAGTAAATATCAGTAGGACAAGCGTATCTGGAGACAAAATAGCTGAAACAAGTCATTAAGGGCCTGTTCACACATTCTGCACAGTTTTGTAATTACTTTTTTAATGTAAATACACAATTGTGATGTGTTAGTTAAAATCACCCTTTAGGCTACTTCTAAGTAAATGCACCATGACATTTTTATGTATCAAAAATATTTCTCCACTACAATATGTATAATTATTTCATGTATAACTTACTTTTCCTTGCCTCCTCTAGTCTCTCCATGTACTTTGTCAGGCTGGAGCCTAAAAAATAAACTGGGTTAAACATCATATACTTTATCAATCATATATGCAAAAGATATAAAAAAATGTTTATGACTTCACAAAAAGTGAATACCTGTATCAAGTCGTGTTTTTACATGTTGATATTTTGGATTCTGTGGAATCCTCTTCTTTAAATACTGGGGGAAAAGAAGCATCCATTTCAAAAAAACATTTTACAGATAAATGCATTGTATAAATATGATCGTTATTATAAAAATTAGTGCTAAATGAAATAATGAGTGTTTTGTCTCTTTTGTTTTGGGGATCAGTGTAACCGGTGGCTCATCACATTCTGAGAACATGATGTCTATGAAACAAACATTGAGTTTAATAGAGCATCAGTGTTCATGAAAGCCACTGTAAGCTCTAATTAGATTAGACAGAAGGTTAATTTATTGATAAGCATTGTTACAAATGAATACAACATGAAAGCATCAGCAGTAAACTGGTGTTGATGGACAGACAGACAGGTATGTATGCATGTGATGGCAACGGAGGAGCAACACCGGTGTCACATTCCCTTTAAACCGCAGCTCTCCATGTCAAACATTCCTGAGCTAGCTTTTAAAATATTACAAACCGTAACATGTTGTTCAAATTGCACTTTGCATAAAAATAAACCCACTGACCTCAGAGTCGCCAATGCCCCGCTTCACCGACATCTTCCAACAGCTGATCTTCGGCGGCTAACGTTAGCTTCCAAAATCAAAACTCAAAGCGTCGCCTCTTTGAGCAACGCCTTCACGGATTGGTCCGTTGATGTGAGGATCCAATCAATGATTGCCTTCTTACTATCTCAATGTTGAGTTCTACGAGTTTACCGTTTGGGTGGTTGCTAAGCAACGGCGTTATTTCCAACGCTGTTTTATTCTATGGTTACAACTCTGCAGTGACAGAGAGCCGTTGGCCGTTTTATTTATTACAAGCTTTTGCGGATCAATATATTTTTTTACAAGTAATTTCTCTGAAGACATTTTTTGTCATATTTGGCTGGGATATGCAACTCTCTGACTCTACAGACAGTATAATCTTCGCAAGACAAGCTTGCAAATTTTAGATTTAATCCCAACCCGCCTTCTGTTGCATTAGGAGGATGGGTTACATTAGCGTTTTCCATTGACTACATTAACGCAGACGTTTATATGTCTAAATTAGTATGTTATCAGTCAAAATAGCGGTGTATAACGTTACATGTAAATATTTAGACACAAACGATATTTTGAGTTAATTTCTCGCCATTCTGTTTAACTAGCCGCGCTGACTCGATGATTCTGAGCGGGATTTGTTTGGTCTGGGTAAAACGCGGCTTGTTTGACAGATGGGAAGTGGCTCAACATGAACGAGTTTCACTTATTTACTTCTAAATCCAAGACCAAACTGTACCAATTTCAGAAACTTGTTTGACTTTTACCGGAGTAATGGCGTCTGTAATGGTAAGAAGACTTATCATAAACATTTTAAAATGCGGATATGGGCATGTTAGTTAGTTGTTGCTTGTTGGTTAGCTCTGTGCAAACTGTGCTGGAAAGTTTCGTTTATGTTTGTATATTTGGATGTATTTATTGGTAATATTTGTTCAAATTCGAAATTAACCTTGAGTAATTGACCAAAAACAATACAATTAACTATCACTAACAAAAAAGTGCTATGAAATTAGCGTAGTTTTAGACATGGTACTACCATCATGGTGTTTTGGACATGTACCATGGTATTACCATCGTTTGTTGGACATGTACCACGTTAATACTATGATTTTTTGAAAATATACCATTGTATTACCATGTTTTTTGGACGTCATGATGAGATGGGGTTACGTAATTTAATTACAAAAAGTAATTGTAATCAGTTAAGTTACAGTTACTGAGAAAAAAATGTGTAACGTTAATTAAATTAGTTACTTATAAAAATTTTAAAGGATTACAAAGGGGGTTACATCTGATGTTTTTACACACACTAACACATACAGATTTAATAGATTTTTTTCATAAATTGCAGTGACTGCTCTAAAATATGAAACACCAGTGTTTCAGGAGTTAAGAACATGCTTCAATAAATCTTTTATTTCCTATTCGAGTTTGTGAATAGCTATGCTTCATTTTTTAAGATTAACTGTTTTTTTTCCAAGGCATTGTTAGATTCAAGTGTTTCCTGTCATAGCTAACCATAGAATTTGATTTCAAAAACAGTATCAGCTATTTCTTGTTATGATTTAAAATAGGCATTTAACCTTTAGAATGATCTCAAAGTAAGTCTGCTTTTGTGGTGGCTGTGCTTCAAAGGGGTAATCGGATGCCCATTTTCCACGAGTTGGTACGATTCCTTAGTGTCCTCATAAAATGTCTGCAACATACTTTGGTTAAAATTCCTTAGTGGTCGTGTAAAACAACACCCGACTGGTTTCAACAACACAGCCACTCGTTTCGGTGCATATCTGCTGAGCACTGCTCACCCCACCCCTCTCTTTCATGGAAGAGCAAAGGCGATTTGTAAATAATTATAAAAATATAAAGTGTGTGACTTAATTCTTCTGGAGGTGCAGCAGCTGGATCACGAACAATGGGTACTGATCTATCCTTGAGTTTTAACTTTTTAACAAAACCTGCCTTGAATTTTCCCTCGTTCAAAAAGCAGTCTGGGGTAAAATGATTTGTGCAGACATAAACAAATTTAGGTGTATCCGGTAGTGCATTACCATCAAAAACAAAACTAATGCACTGCGTCCTCAGTGGCTCTGATGTCGGGAGAAAATTAAGATTCTTATGTTCTTTTACATCACAAAACTACAAAACACCTGCATTGCTTACAAGATATTGTCGTAATATTGGACAGTACTTCAGCGGTCGTGGGCGGGGCCTGAGCAATATGACATCATACTGCTCAGAAAATCAAAACGGCTTGATAATTGAGACGGTTTAGGTTTTGGGGGGATTAAAGGGGTCATATGATGCGGTTTCAATTTTTACTTTCTCTTTATATATATAAAACAGTAAAAAATGTTTTATGTATATTCACTCACATTATGTTAAAAATATAATTTGCACTGAAAATTTGCATGTAAACAAAAAATTCAATAAAAATAACATTCTAATTCTGTCAGACTTTTGGACTTAATTTTTTACACCTTATTCTTCTATGATGTCTTTTCATTTTCAGGAGGATCCCACGCTTGAGAGACATTTTAAAGGTCACAAAGATGTTGTTTCCTGTGCCGACTTCAGCCCCAACAATAAACAGCTTGGTATGTCATATTTGTCTTCTTTTTTCCCCGTCTGAGAACATCCCAGTTTATCCACTTGCAACTTCTCTTGCAGCTACTGGATCCTGTGACAAGAACCTTATGATCTGGAACCTCACTCCTAAAGCCAGAGCATTCAGGTTTGTGGGTCACACAGATATCATTACAGGTGTCCATTTTTCTCCAAGTGGTTCCTTCGTGGCATCTTCATCCAGAGATCAAACAGTTCGACTGTGGACGCCCAGCATGTGAGTGAGAACAGATGCCCACTTTCGAGTTTCAGTGTTATTTGTATCTTAATACGTTACACTACATGTATGTTACAGAAAGGGTGAGTCGACTGTGTTCAAAGCCCACACAGCGAGCGTTCGAAGCGTTCAGTTCTCCAGCGATGGCCAAAGGCTGGTCACGGCTTCAGATGACAAGTCTGTCAAAGTGTGGGGTGTCGAACGGAAGAAATTCCTCTACTCTCTCAACCGGCACACCAACTGGGTGCGCTGTGCGAGGTATTAGACTATGTGTGTAACCTTTCTGGTTTGTCGCATAAAGTGGGATTTCTCTCACTGTCACTTGGTCTGTTCCTGTCAGGTTTTCACCAGATGGTCGTCTTGTTGCTTCTTGTGGTGATGATAGGACGGTTCGCCTCTGGGATACATCCTCACGTCAGTGCATCAACATCTTCACAGACTACGGAGGGTGAGAATTGAGCATTGTTGTTTTTTCCCGAATCTTTGTTTTTTGGGTTCAAGCTAACTGATATTTCAAATTGTCTGTTTAGGTCAGCAACATTTGTGGACTTCAATTCCAGTGGCACGTGCATTGCATCCTCAGGAGCGGACAACACATTAAAAATCTGGGATATTCGTACAAACAAGTTAATACAACATTACAGAGGTAGTAGAAAAGAGTTTTTCACATGGTCATTTATTTTAATAGAGTCAAGGACTAGTCTTGTTTTCAAGCATTTAACTTGCATTTGTCTTGCAGTTCATAGTGCAGGGGTCAACTGCTTTTCCTTTCATCCATCTGGAAACTATCTGATCAGTGGTTCAAGTGACAGTACAATGAAGATCTTAGACCTCCTGGAGGGGAGGCTCATTTACACCCTTCACGGCCACAAGGTGTCTCTCTCTTGCTAATAGTGAAGAATTTGAATCCCAACTGGAACAATTAGGAATTCATCCAAAAAATGTCAATTCTGTTACCACCCTCATGCCATTTCAAAGAAACATTCTGCTTTTTCAGTAGGACACAAAGGAGAATTTAAAAAAAATTATATGTACACCGTTCTTGCCAAACAGTTAACATTGCGATTTTGTTTCCATTTTTTTCAATAAATTAATTTTATTTTAATTGAAAATATTTCACATATAATTTTGGTATTAAGAATTCAAAAATAAATATTCACTTATAAATGCTATATAATTTGACAGGTAATATTTGATTTGTTATGTTTCGCTTTTTTATATTACTGTTCATACTGTCTATCTATGTTAAAGCTGAAGACTATTTTCAACATAAATTATTTTTTAGGCTCATTTACACCCTTCACGGCCACAAGGTGTCTCTCTCTTGCTAATAGTGAAGAATTTGAATCCCAACTGGAACAATTAGGAATTCATCCAAAAAATGTCAATTCTGTTACCACCCTCATGCCATTTCAAAGAAACATTCTGCTTTTTCAGTAGGACACAAAGGAGAATTTAAAAAAAATTATATGTACACCGTTCTTGCCAAACAGTTAACATTGCGATTTTGTTTCCATTTTTTTCAATAAATTAATTTTATTTTAATTGAAAATATTTCACATATAATTTTGGTATTAAGAATTCAAAAATAAATATTCACTTTTTAAAATTTCAACATAAATTATTTTTTTTATGAAATTCTTTAATTTATTTATTTTTGTACAGTTTTGGAGCTTTACAGTCATGATCATAAACTGTCATTTTATGGCAAGAGTCGCATAATAATAAAACAACAATAAAATTAACAGGTTTTTTTTGTAAATATTAGTTAACTACATTACTTACCATAAACTAAAAAAAGAAAAATACTTCTAAAGCATTTATTAGTCTTAATAAATTAAGTTAATATGAAATTGAACATTCACCGATACGTTAAAATCAAAAGTTGTATCTGTTCATTTTATTTAGTGATTTTTATTAACTAACATTACCAAAGATTAATAAATACTGTTACAAATGTATTGCTCATTGTTTACAGTACGTTAGTTGATGCAGTAACTAACATAAACTAATTGGATGTTATTGTAAAGTGTTTCTGAAAAAATCACAGCAGACATTTTTAGAATGATATGAGCATGTTTTCATTTCTGGTGAACAATTCCTTCAGTTTTATGTGTATTTTGTGTTATAGACCTGTATTAAACATCCCACCCTTATAGGAAAAGCCCTAAAGTGTCTTCCCCCCCCCCCTGCTCTCAGGGTCCAGTGCTGGCTGTGGTGTTTTCTCGAGACGGAGGTCTGTTTGCTTCAGGAGGGGCTGATTCT